AATGTGATTAATTAACAAATTCCTTGTCCTTGTCTTTGATAATAATTTGAGTGTTGATTAATTGATAAGTCGTTGAGTTGGGGATATACTACGGGGAATGTATTATTCAACGAATAGAAAGAATATCATAGTTTGTTGCCCAGTAGTGGCGGATATATGAAGATATCGTTGTTTGTGGTACAGTCGTGGAGGATATGCGAAGAGGATGTATTGTCTGTTTGATTGTAAAAACTAAACTGTTTCGGATTTTTCCTTTTATATATATAAGGATTAGGAAGAGTTCTGTAAGCTCCATCGGGGATATTATGGAGGTATGGCTGATCTTTGGCATTATCCATTGTATAGGTACAATGGATATCATTGTCCATGGTGTAGTTACTGAGATGTCTTTGTGTTATGCTGTCCATTGTTAGCTTATATTCTCTTCATTGGTTTAATTCTACTTACAAGATTTCATCACCTTGCCTGTTAGATATTGTGGACATTTTATTTGAACATAGCTTTAATTTCAGTAATCCAATAGGCACATCCTTTCCAACTTGCGCAAAGAATTTTCAAGTACGATATAGTGTATATGAATTGACTTCATTCTTTATTAACTAAGATTCATCTACCAATGCCTGTTGTGACAAAAATGAAGAGAATTAGAAGATGAGGATTACTGTTCTTGTTAGTAATAAAGCAGTTATATTTTATAAAAAAATGACTTACTGAATACCGATTGGTTATGTGTTCGAGGAATATAATAGTTATCCTTTATTGTTGTTCAAATAACAAACACAATAAAAGCAGATTAGAGGTAATTCCAATTATAGTATAATAAAATCCAACTTACTAACGTAGAATAGTGGGAGAGAAATATTGAAGTAAAAATTCCTAAATAGGAAATCAGGATTGTATTGAGTAGAATTGAATAGCAACGTGGAGAACATTAACACATTGGGCCTTGTTAGAGTTTATATATGGGATGTGTGAAGAGGAACAATCATTACATATTGACAGTATTCTCACAGATGCAAGAGAAATTTACATATAAGAACAGTTTTCCTTAGAAAAAAATTGCATAGAAATTATTTTATCTGATGTACAGCTTCCTCACCATTGTATAAAAGATTTTGTATGGGATAAAGCCTTTACAAATTAATTACCATATATGCTTCAGTAGATTAGATAGCTGACCCATAACTTTAAGCATGAGAGAAAAAAAAAGTAAATGCGATTTATTTGAATGAATGATTCTATGATACAGCTATTTCGGTTTTTCCGACAGAGTTAGGACAAAACGAGTGAAATCCTTAGAATGTTGATTTTGTTGGAGTACCCCTTCCTCTTAGATGGAACGTGTTATAGTGTTAAATTTGCATCTGTCCAGATTTGCGGTTAGATTTAGGATGCTTCTTTCTCTTAGCATGATTATCGGAGAAGGCTAGCAAGCTCATTCTGCAAGCCCATCAATCACACACTTTCTCTGACCCTTCAGTTGCGATTTAAGTACCATAGGAAATCCTACGGGAAATATTTGCTACCGCTAATATAACTTATAATCCCATGAGGGATACACAAAGGTGTTTGTGAAGAATTGAGCATCTATCCCATGGCTATTGCAAAATTCTTTCAATCTGTTAACAAAACTATTGCAAATCATTCCCACGGGCCAAAAATGAAAAAATCCCTATCAAACAACAATCCCAATCAAATTCTTATCAAATTTCTCTATTTAAAGGAGTGAACTACAGTGATAAACTCTATTTGTAATAGATCTTCAATGATTGTTATAACTATCAAAAAGACAATTAACAAAACCTATCACAACAATTCATTCATACCAACGAACTTACAAAAAAAAAACTTACCATAACAATTATTCGTTTTGCTAGCTAAGATTGGGAAAGAAATTAATTCATACAATAATGTTAGATTAGTATTTTACAGCAATTTAAATCTAAAAATGTCGAATTGTCATTCATTGGTCATTTAAGGAATAATTTCCATTATCCAATAATTGAAAAAACTATTACTTAATTTATCCAATAATCTATTAGACCTAAAAAAAAAGAAAAAGAGAAAATTTAGTTATCCAAGGCATTGCTAACTGTTGTATGAATTCCAAATTTTATTAAGTTGCATAAATTATTGGCTTGTACCTTTGCTGCTAAATTATCGTTTTTGCAGTTATGTGTGATAAATTTCAAATTTTATTAGCTTGCATAAATTACTGCTTGCAGCTATTTAATCATATGTAATAATTTAAAGAGATTTAATTCTTCAATAAATCTTATAATTCAAATATCCAAAATGATCTCATTTCATTTGGCGCAATTTTAATTATTTTTATAATGGCTGTATTTTTTGTTACTTTGCTTCTACCTAAATAGGAATTGATTTAAATTATGCAAAAATAAAGAATGAAGAATTTGTTGCAAGTCCGAGTAATTTATAAATTTCAAATTAAAATTTTTTCTCATCATACTTCTGTTTTGAATGTTTTTGAGAATAGTTTTTCGAAAATTTCATATTTCACTCTCATTGGAACAAATGAAAAATTGCTTTATAAGGTTGTATAATTAGCAAAATAAAACTTATATTAAATTAATGAAATTAATGTAGGTGTAATTTTTATGAAAAATTAGTTTTTTTTTTTTTATTTTTATCATCGAAAAGAAAAAGAAGGAATTGTTAGCTATCAAAAACTGAAATATCCAAACCGTAAGTTAGTATTTTAACAAAAAAAAAAAAAAACAATAAATTACAATGCAAGATATTTTCCTTGAAATTGTAGTCCAAAAAAAAAAAAAAGTAGGCTCATTTCAAGTAGACTAACAGTGTGGAATAGACACATTTCAAGTAGGCCTATTTCGGGAATGAGTTAATATTGTTGGCTAAGATTAAATTCCTGAAGTATCGTACTTTTAATATTGATGACAATATATTTGTTATGAACAATGAGTTATTTAATGATTGTTATTTTCAAAAATTTCAGCAAATCGGTTTTTGTGAAGTGAAAAATGAGAGTAATAAATGTTTTAAAACAATTGTTTTCACGGAATAAATGATATCGTATATCTATCTGATAGATCGTTTGATTGATAATAACATAATGAAAGTTTAATATTAAAAATGATAAATAATAACCTTATAATTGAAAATTTTACTTAACATCGATAACAACTGATATCATTTTTTCGTATTCTAATTTTCTTTTTAATCATATCATTATCAATCTCATACATTGTTAAGCAATGATATACTTAAAATAAAAATGATGTTGAATGTAAATGGTTTCAATTAATAATTAAATTAGAATATAATAAAATAATGAAAAGAATTAAATTTGGAATATAATAAGACGAAAAATTGTCAACATTACATTTACTATTAATGTTTTCCTTTTACTAAAACTTAATGTTTAAAATAATCCTATTTGAGACAGAGTAATGAAAATAGCAAAAGGAAAATAGTGAAAAAGTAAATTACAAATATATTTAATGTATAATGTTCATTATAAGTGTATTTATAAAATTTGATTTTAAAAAAAAAATTTAAAAATTACTAATTAACATTTTATATGCATAAAATTGGCATTATATTGTAAAATTCCAGTTGTAGAATTTCAGATTTTTTTTTAAATTTTCAATGTAAGAAAAAAAAAATGGAAATTTTGATGACATCAAAAGAATTAATAACATTAATTCCTATAATTATATGCTATTTCCATGAATAAGCATAAACAACCATAGCATAAATATAAATATTAAGTATAAAGCTTCCCTTTTTTGGATGCTTTGATCTAAAAAAAAAAAAAATTAAATTATCAATGTAATAATGATTTGTCTAAAATTTATACACACATAAAAAAAAGAAGAAAAAAGGATGACAATATAAAATACATTTGCACATTTCTGAATTTGTACTACAATTATTCAAATAAATCATATGATATGATATAAAGTGAGAAATTCTTATATTCTTGAAAGGTATCTTACAAAGAGTTATAAATTTTTCCTTATTAACACCTCAAGTTTGGATAATTGAATCAATTAGCATCGAAGAGACAAAATTAGCTGTCACATGATCACAAATTAATGTCACAAATAAAATAAAATTTTTTAAAGACACCAATTTGAGGAATAACATAAAAGAATGTTACACTGTTATGATAAAAGATATTGACATATATCTTTGACAGATTTGTTTCAATGTTTGCATTGATTGGCGCTTTTGTTAGCTTACATTATTAATCTAGCGCTTTTTGTTAGCATACATTATGTATAAACAATAAGCACAAATACAATTCTATGCATAGTGATAGTATTCTACATATAACAGAAAAGAATTTGAATGATAATCAATCCTAATTATGATAATTATAATTCAACATTGATAAATTCAAATGCAATACATTTATGATTCGTTATATTT